AGAAATGCCATAAGGCAACACCGTGTGCACAACGTGGATACAGGCAGATGTACTTAGATGCATAGAAAAAGGCATGCAAGGATGCGCTCCAAACTGACACCAGTGGCTGCCCTAAAGGGGCTAGAAAGGGTGGTGGTGGGTGGGCCAAGGGCACTCTGGCCTTACCTCTTAGGTTTTAATTATGTTCAAAGAGACTGAATTGATGTTTAGCCACAGATGGAAGATGAATAAGGGGAGGGGTTCTGAAGCAAGCACAGAGGCCTGGACGAGAAGAAGGGTCATGCAGTTGCCTTCTGCTTGTAGCCGCTTGGCCCTCATTTCCTGACGACCAGGTCTCTAGTCAGTCCTGAGTCGGTGAGGCCCTGCTGCTCCTCTGTGGCTGCCCTGGACCCCTGCCTGAGCCCCAGCCCAGAGCAGCTCCTCCCTGAAGGCCTGGTGTCTCTGGGGCCCCAGATCCTTCGGTCACCACTGCCCTGACCCCACTTCATGACCCCACGCAAACGCGCAGGCACAGAGCTCAGGCAGGACGCTGGCCTGGAAGGGAGACATATTGGTGATCGGCAGGTCCATGACGGCGGGCTCTGGGGGAATGTGGGGCAGCAGAAGGGTGACCCCAGGAGAGACCCCAGGGGACAGGAACAAGCCTATAACTCATCCCACCCTCAGCCCCCACCCTCAAAGCTACTGCTCTGGGACAAGAGACAGAGTGCAGGAGGAAGCCTGGGGGCCAGCCAGCCCCCGCAGGGCTTGATCAGGCCTGGGTGTTCATGCCTGAGCTCTGTGCTGGCCGGGCGGGCAGCCGAGACACAGTGAGAGAGGGGCAGGGTCATAGAGAGGGAAAGAGGGAAAGAGACAGACACCAGGAGAGACAGAGAGAAAGAAGCAGAGAGAGAGACAAAGAGATACAGAGAGACTCAGAGAGTTCAATGCACCGGAGGAGGGAGCGGTGGAGACAGAAGCAGAAGGGAGGAGAGAGAGGGGCCGCGTGGTCTGCCCTGCTCTGATTGGCCAGGACACACTGCAATTAAAGCCCATAATTGATTCCCTGGGATGACGAGGATCATTTCAATGCAGAGAATTAAGGTTTTCTTCCAAGATGGAAATAAAGATTAATTTGCAATTTCCTTCCTCACTGCACACATGAGAACAGCCCCTGCTGGGAAGAGCTCACGCTAGCAGGTGGGCTGGGGGCGGGGCGCCTCCGTGGGAGAGGGGCCACTCAGCCCGCCCGGAGGACAGCCTCCAGAGGCTCGAGGACTGCTGCATGCCCGTCACTGGCCTCTGAGGGGCCTCCGGGCCTGGGGCTCCTGGCTGTTGGATTGTGCTGTGGAGCTCAGAGGGCGTCACGCCACTTTTCAGAGCCCCTCTACCCCCTGCTCCAGGGCGGGAGGGGGAGGCCCAAGCCTGGCTGTGACTCCCCAGTCCCTCCTGGACTCTGATGTGCAGGTAGCCACAGCGGGAGGTGGCAGGAGAGCCCCTGAGGGAGAAGTGGGGCCTCAGACCTCCCTCTCCCTTGTGGGTCCTTCAGAGGCCCGGGCCCCTCCTGCCACCCTGGGCAGAGCTAACTGAGTCCTGCCTGGAACAGAGGACTTCCCTGGAGGGAAGCACACCCCGGAGCCCAGGAGGTGCTCCCCTCTTCTTCGGCCTGGGCCCCCGCAGACTGCCCTCTGTGGGCTTCAATAGGGGCACCCCGAGCACAGCTACATATGCAGGCTCCAGAAAGCCGCAGCCCTGGTGCCTGCCCAGGCCCTGCTGCCTGAGGACCATACTCAGAAAGGCTGCCCCGTCCGGGGAGGGGCAGAACGCCAGCAGGGCCGGAGGGGGGCAATGAGCCCACCCACGCCTAGGCCCCTGGGAGCTGGTGGCACCCTCAGACTCGCCCCTGAGGGCACACTGGGGCGGCCTGCTCACTGCCTCCATGCCCTCTAGGCCCGCACCTGAGCTCAGAGCCCTGACCTGAGCAACCTCTGAGGGAGCACAGGCTGTCCTGTGCAAGCGGAGGCTCCCCCGTGGCTGGGGCTCCTGACGCCAGCCGTGTGGACCGCGGACCGGAGGCCGGGGAGGAGGCCCAGTGTCCCGGTCTGAGAGCTCCGAAACCTTGACTGCAGCCTTGAGCACTCAGAGCCCATGTTCTGTGCAGCTTCCTTGGGGCTTCCAGAACGCCCAGGGGTTTGGGCTTCGGCTCTGGGCTGGGTCTGACCTCTGGACCGCCCGCCAGGCAGTGGCCCATGAGAGGCCATGGGGCCCCGCGGGGATGAGCAGCCTCTGGTGCTGGCGCACCCTGAGGTGACCTCTGGATGACCTCCTGGCACACACTGGGAGGAGGCAGAGCAGGTTTATGAGCAAGGGGCTGTGCATTCCTCCTGGGCCAGTGGCCTCGGCCCATCTCACCATCATGACAGGATGGAGGGGCCGGGCTGCCCTCCGAACCTCAGACCACCCCTCCCCAGCCACCTGCGGCCACCATGTGGTCAGGACCCAGATCACATCCGGTCTCTGAGCCTGGCTCACCCGGAGCTGGGTTGGGCCTCACCACTGCTGCATCCCTCCAAGTCCAGCCTCCTCTTACACACCTCTAGGCACCGGGAGCTCCCTCCACACCACCCCACCCGACCGACAGCAGAGAGAAAACAGCAACTCGGGGCAGTCACGCAGACGGTGATGCCCGGCACCCATGGGAACAGCCCCTGCTGGGACGAGAGCTCAACCCCGGCAGGCGGGCCCGGGTGGGAGGGCCTTCAGGGCCCAGGCCCATGGCCTCCATGGGAGAGGGGCCTGGCAGTCGGCCACAGCTGTCCCTCAGAGACACTCTGGTGGGTGTCAGTTCTGCCCTCTGGACCTGCAGTTCCACCTGTCCCCCTGGGCCAGGGGCCACTGCAAAGACTTGGGGGCAGTGCCAGGGCTCCCCTCCCAGGCTGGCGTCTCAGCCCCCCATCCCTGCTGACTCCCCAGAACTCTGAGCAGAACCATGCAGAGCTGGACAATCACCTCCAAAATGCTGGGCCAGAGCCTCGGGCCCTCGCCCTCACCCCTTACGCCCTGAAATGCCCTGGCTGCGGCGGCTGCTGGCTCTGCCCCATCGCCCATTGATTCCTTTGACCAATAATTGGATCAGTATCCTGGACCCTTGCCGAGCCTTGGGGCAGCTTGGAACGGCCTGTCCCTTGGTGAGGGGTGCCCAGGAGGGCTGGGAGAGTTGCCACCCCGGCCAGAGGCCCACATGTCCTTCCCCACCCTCTCTGCCACCATGTCTGGGAGCCATGGGCCCACCTCCAGGGAGAGTGCAGCCTCCAGACCCTTCGTGCAGGTTTCTCCTCCTATGCCCACCAGACCCGCAAGGGGTACGCCCCTGTATGCCACGGGTACCCCAGGGGTCACGTGACCAAGTGTCTGATTCCCAGACCCCACACCCATCACAGCAGCCCTGCTTTTAACAGCACAGACAGATTTGGATCCAATGAGGCCCGGAGCAAGTGTATAACCCTCTCTGTGCCACAGCGAAATGAAATGAATACCTGCTTTGTGGGGTAGTGGTGAGAATGAAAGGGGCATACAGCAGGTGCTCACTAAATGCTCTATGGCAGACACTTGGCAAAACAGTTCTGATGTTTCTCAAAAAGTTAAACATAGAGTTATGGCCAACAAGTGGAAGTAACCCAAATGTTTAACAACTGATGAATGGATAACCAAAGTGTGGTATGCAGCTATACCACCTGGAATATTATTCCACGGGATAATTAAATGGAGTACATTAAATTTGGCACAATATAATCATAATAAAAAGGAATGAGGTACTGATGCGTGCTACATGGACGGACCTTGAAAACGCTGTGCTGAGTAGAAGCAGCTAGACACCGACGGCTGCATATCGTGTGATCCCATTTACATGAGACGTCTCGAAAGGCACATCTAGGGAGACAGAAAGTTCCTGGGATTGCCTGGGGTTGGGGGAGGATGGGAGGAGGACGGTGGTGGCTAAGAGGTGTGCGGCTTTTTTGGGGTAATGAAACTGTTCTCAAATTGTGGTGATGATGTTACACTCTGTGAGTACACGGAAAACCGTTGAATTAGACACTTCAAACGAGCGAATCGTATAGTATGTGGATCATATCTCAAGAAACATGAATGTTCACGGCATGATTCATAATAGCCAAAAGGTGGAAATGACCCAAATGTCATATACAGACGAACAAAATGTGGTCAATCCGTACAACAGATCATTATTAGCCACAAAAAGGAAGGAAATCCTGACACAGGCCAGGCATGGGCGACCCTGAGCACGTCATCGTAGTGAGAGAAGCTGGACACCAAAGGGCGCATGCGGGGGATGTCCATTCGCACGAAATGTGCGGAGAGGTCGTCCCACGGGTACAGCCAGCAGGCTCGTGGTGGCTGGGCACTGGGCACCTAGGGGGGTGGGAGGACTGCTGCTGGATGTGGCGTTGCTTTCTGGGGACAGATGTTCTGAAGTTGGATTGCGGTGATGGGCTCACACTCGGAACGTGCTCAGACCCCTGGGCCGCGCTCTGCCAGTGGGGAGGCGTTATGGCGTGTAAGTTAGATCTCAGTAAAACTGCTTTGGCAGCGGACAGGCGCTCCATGAGCATCCTCACTGCCCACGGCCCATCCTCAGGGACAACCCCTGCCCCGTTTGGTTCTGGGCCAGAGCCTGGCAGGTGGGAAGCCCACGCCCTTTCCCTGGAGGGTGAGGGGCAGAGTGCGGACTGGGGCTGCAGCAGCGGAGGGAGCGACACCAAGAAACACACACACACCCTCTTCCCAAGGGGAGAAACCAGGCCATTCTCCAACACCTCGGCCCTGAGAATCGTCTCTGGTGGGTCGGCGGTGGGGCTGCATGCAGGCCTCCGGCTTCTGTTCCTGGCTGCCCCCCGCGCATCCGGCTGGGCGTCTCGCGAAGCCTCAGTCTACTCTTCTGTGCAGTGGGCAGAAAGAGGGCTCCTCCCAGCGCCGCCGGAGAGGCCGACAGGCTTCTGCAATGGGAATCACTGTGTTCTTGTTTTTAAATTACTGTATTATTGATCATGTTTATTAAGGAAATAGTTCAAACGTGAAAAATGCGGAGAGTACAACACGATGACCTCCCACGGGCAACACCTGGCCTCCGCAGCGCCAGAAGTGGATGGAAGCCTTCAGAGGCTGCCGCGGAGCCCCCAGACTATCGGTGCCGCCCCTCTGCAGTCCCGGCCCTGCCCGCCCCATCGTCACATGGACCAGAACAGTCTCTGCCGGGCCGATGGCTGTGGAAGTGGCCCTGCTCTAGGAGGCGGGGGACAGGCCCCACCTCATTTCCCGGTTTGGGGAGGTCAAAGCTCGGCCGCAGGACTTCTCACCTGCCCTCGTCTCTGCCCAGAGGGCTGGTGGGACCCAGTCGCTCTGCTCCGTGATTCTGAAAGTTTACAACTTTTTTTTCATTGTTACTTGTTTCTTGCACACAGTAACAGTAAAAATAAACGTATAGTTCTATGTTTTGAAAAACACACACAGTTGTGTAACCCCCACCCCAGTCAAAATACAGAAGAGTTGCACCTGCCAGAGCCTTATCCCCTTACAGCAGTCCCTCACACCCCGCTCCCGCCAACCGCCGGTCTGTGCCCTGTCCCCATAGTTCTGCATCATCTCGATGTCACATAAATGGCATCAGGCTGCGTGTAGCCTTTCAAGCAAGGCTCCTTTCCCGGGCAACATGCCTTTGAGACTCGCCCACGTTGCGTGCGCATCTCTTTGGGCTCCTTCTGTCACTGCATGGATGTGCCACTGTGTTTATCTCGTCACCAGCTGAGGGACGTTTGGGTTGTTTCCAGTTTTTGGTGATGATGAATAAAGCTGTGGCAAACATTCATTTATGGGTTTTTGTGTGAACCTAGGTTTTTATTTCTCCTGAGTAAACGCCTAGCTGTGGAATGTTCGGGCCGCATGATAAGCGTGTGTTTAACTGTACAAGTACCTGCAAACCGTCGTCCAGCGTGGCTGTACCAGTCCGCAGTCCCACTCGACTCGGCGTTTTTATTCTTTCTGTCAACACATTCCTATCAGGCCCTGTGCCAGACCAAGGACCCGAGTGGCCAAGACAAGCAAGGTCCTGCTCTCCTGGGACTGCCAGGTCGATGGAGGAAGCAGAGAAGAAACAAGAAATCCCATGAGCACCAGGACCACATCGGGTGGGGATAAGGACTCTGAGGGCATAAAGCAAGGTGGCAAGAAGAGAGGGGTTGATCAGGGAGGGATTCTCTCAGGAGGCGAGTTTGAACTGAGACTAAGGATGAGGAGGAGCCAGCCAATCCAAGATCAGGGCAAGGGGTTCCAGGCAGAGGGCTGAGCAGGTGCAAAGGCCCTGAGGTAGGCATGTCACATTATGATGCTGTGGCTGTGATGGATTTATTGGTTACTTACTATGTGCCAGGAATGCGCTGAAAACAGTGACATCTTCCTAAGAAGAGGGATTACTGTCATCCCCAGTTTACCCTGAGAATTATGAGATCCAGAGAGGTGTCACCTGTCTCAGGGCACACAGCAATGAGGGGCAGAGCCAGGGTTTGAACCCAGTGGGACTCACAGAAGTGTGCTTAACACCTGGGTCCCAACCTCAGCTGGTGTCCCTCCCTGTGGTCCTGCTGTGTGCCCCTGGGCAGGTCACTGGCCATCTCTGAGCCTCTGCCCTGCCGTCTTTACAAGGGGGTCGGCTTGCCTGCCTTGCAGCCCGCTGTGGGAAACGTCTTGGTCCGGTGATGCCCGGCGGTGGGCAGCGGGCGCGCGGTGCCAGGGGCCGAACCGCCGGCCCAGGAGCGCGCTGCGCTGCCGCCGGGCGCCGACAGAGGGCAGGAGCGGCCCGTGAACTGCGCCGGCCCGCGCGCTCTCGGGGCGGGGCGTGTGTGCGGGCGCCCGCGGGGACACGGGCCCGCGAAGGACGCGCGCGCGGCTGCTTCGTGCGAGGGGCGGGATCTGGGCCATCCCGTTGAGCATTTCTTACCTTGATCGTTGTAGGCTGGAACAGTAAGTAACATTTTAGATACACTGGATTAAATAAAATATAAAAATTAATTTCATTTTTCTTTTTACTTTGTAAAATGGAGCTCTTTGAAATCTAGAACCACCTGCGTGGCTGACATCGTGGCTGGCCTCTCTGTCCAGGGCCGCGCCGCTCTAGGCACCCATGTCTGTTGGCCCGTGAGCCCTCATTGCTCCTTCCCGTGGGGCGCCACTGTCATCGTCCCCATTTCTCAGACGCAGAAACAGAGGCGCTGAGACGGGACGCGACCCGCCCACGGCAAGTGGGCGCACACCCAGCAGTGCCACCCACAAGGGCCCCGCTGCTGCACGCCCAGGTACACGCGTGTATCCACATAACACAGGCAAGAGCCCAAATGTGTGTCATCTGTGCAAGGGCACACACGTAACAGATGGACAGGCCACTGCACAAACACACGCTACCAACACCCCAACTGATATGCGTGCAAATGTCACCTGCGAGCATCCAGTCTTGTGATGGGCTCTCGAGCACACACATCCACACTCGTGTGCATGGCCCCCTGCTCACACCCGTAGACACACACCTGCAGGGGTGCTCGCCTTCGAGGCACGGAAGTGCAGCCCGAATCCCCTGGAGGCCCAAGGGCCATCTGGAGGACTTTTTGGGGTCCTGCTGCTGGCTGGCTGGCAGGCCCTGGCCGGCTCCAGCGGTCTCCCTGCACACCCAGGGCCTGGACCTGGGGGCCTGGCTGAGGCTCCATCTGAGTCCGACAGAGCCAGCCCCGAGCTGAGCTGGGCCGTCCACTGCTGGCTGCTGCCTCGCTGTGGGCCCTTCCTCCCGCTGCAGGGCATTTGCATACAGCTCCCCAGCCCGCAGATCGCATTACAGGCAGGCCCGATGATAATCTTTGTTGAAATAATATTTAACACATGCTGCACTTTTAATTAACTATCTGAATAATCTCAAATTAATACCAGAGCTTTAAAAATAAGTTTTCATTTTCGCATTTGGTAACATAATAGCGGCCCGGCTGGCCCGTTTCCCCCTCCTTTGATTTAATTAAAAGCCCTTTTGTGTGTCTCTTGTCACTTCAGAAACGGACAAAAGCACCCGGGTGGGCAGGCCGGAGGGAGCGCCTGGCTCGGGGTCCGGGCCCAGGCCAGGCTGGGGTGGTGGCCACATAGGGGCTCTGGGGTTAGGTCCTCGCTGGAACCCTGGGCTGGCAACCACAGCATGGCCCTCACACACATTTGCACAGGGACACTTGAACACAGAGACACCCACAGGTCGCCTCTCGTCCACCAGGACGCACACACCAGAGGCAGGTGGTCCCCTGCCCCCCACCGCACATGCCTGTCCACAGGCTCGCTCGGCCAGGCCCTGCAGAGAGCCCAGCCACACGGACGCTCCCTGCGCCTGCAGGCACATGCGCATGCACACACTCGCACACGCAGGACAGCTTGGGGATTGACAACTGAAGCCAGCTTGGGCTTGGGGTCAACAATTTGCATTCTGAACCTAGATCTGAGCAGACCCCAGGGCGCCTGGTCCATGTCCCCATCCCCAGCTGACTCCTGAGTGTGAGTGCGTGCATATGTGTCTCTCGCTGTCTTCCTGTCTCTCTGTCTCTTGTGCCTCTATTCCAGGCTTGACACTTCTAGAAACAAGGCCGGGCAGGCAGCCTCCTGGGGCTGTTGTGCTGCTCCGGCTGGTCCTGCTCCCCCTGTGCCCGAGGGCCCAGCCCTCCCTCCTAGGTCTGCTCCTGGCTCCTGGGGAGCAGGCAGGGGCCGACGGCTTTCCCTGGGGTCCTTGCCTTGCCTCCCGCAAGTCCCTCTCCTCTGGACCAGAGACAGGCCCAGGGAGGTCTTCCTCAGGCAGGCGGCTCCAGAGAGGTCTGCAGGGCCTCAGTTTCCTCTGACAGGTCCAGGCTGGTGGGAACCTTCCTGCTCCATGGGCCTGAGGCACAGAGGGGTGCAGAGACCCCACTGGCCCCCCGAGCCTGGATTCTCGGCAGGGGGAAGCGGAGATCCATTTGGCTCTGAGGCCGAAGGTCAGAAATGGCTCTTGATGTGTAGAGCAGTGGCCAAGTAGAGGCCTGCGCGTCCCCCAGGGCCCCTCTGACCGCCGGGGCCGGAACTCCTGGCTCATGGGGGGCCCAGGACAAGCTCTGAGGCCGCCCCTCCAGGACCGGAAGCGGCTGCGTCTGCAGGCTCCTCCACACATCCAGCTTGCCCCTCTGGCCAGCCAGAACCGAGGGCTTAAACACATGTGGCAGGAAGGCCCTGAGCCCTGTGGCCCGCAGTGGTGACCCAGACAGGGCGTCCGCCCTCGTCAGCGCCCACTCCGTGGGAGATGCCCCATGAGGCGGGGTGGGGAGTCCTCATGCAGGCCCTGGCCGTGCCCAGCGGGACTTCCTCAGTAAGACGGTCAGAGGAGAGGCTCCTGGGGCTGCGGCCACTGAGGCAGGGTCCGGCCCCCCTCCAGCCCTGGTCCCGGGACGCAGAGCGTGAGCAGCAGGCCAGGTCCTGCGAGCTGACTGCCCTGGGGTGTGGCTCCCCCACCAACCAGTCCCTCCCGGCTCAGGCTGACCAGCCAGCCCTGGGCAGCCGGGAGCAGCGGCCTCCTGCCCTGAAGGCCACCTGGGGGGCAGGGAGGCGAGCCTGCCCCCACCCGCCCCAGCCTGGCCAGTGAGGACCGGCTGGGCCACTCAGGCACCTCACCCCCACTGTCACACACAAGCGCACAGTCACTCACAGCCACACTGTCACATACCCTCACACACACATGCACACACGTGGTCACACGGTCACCCACGACCTCACGCCAATGAGCACACAGGGTTCCAGAGGGCCAACTGGCCCTCACAGAGAGTGACAGTCACAGAGTGGCTCCAGGAGTCCCACCCACTTGCTCTTCCCCCGGGCAGCCGGTCAAGGAGGGCTCGTGTGGGGCAGGAGCCGCTGTCGTCTTGAGCACCGCCCTGGGGCTGTGCACAAGGTCCAGGACTCTCCAAGTCTTGAGGAGGGGCGGGGTCCTGGTTTACAGAGGCAGAAGCGGGCTCAGAGAGGCAAGTTAAGTTGCTCAAGATCACACAGGGAGAAACAGATGGAGCCAGGCCTGGACCTTGAGCCTGTACCCCAGTCTGCCCAGCCGCTGTCCCCTCTACTCCTGAAAGCCAACCAGCCGCGCGGCCTGTCGGGGAGCGAGGCTAACGGGTGAGTTGGGGCAGGGCGGCATCCGCGACACCAGCGCGGGTCGGCTGAGCCAGAGGACTCCGAGCCCCAGGTCTATGGCGAGACCCCAGGGACCTGGTGGCTAGAGTAGGGAGAGAGTCCCCCAAGCCTCTCAAGGCTGTCACAGAGCCAGAAAGCACTGAGGCTTGTCCCCTCCCCACCCCGGGGACCTGTGACCTCACCCACAGAGCCTGTGGGCTGCTGCAGAGCACTGCTGTGAATGCCGCTGAGATGCGACGCCCGGGAAGAGCTTAGAACGGGGTGCTCCAGACCAGGCCTCCATTCCTCGTTGGCTCGCTCGTTCGATCAGTGAACAGGCGCGCACCCAGTGCGGGGAGGTGTAGGCGCTGTCCTAGACAGGTGTGGCAAGGCCTACCCAGACTCTGCCCTCCTGGAGCCGCATTCTATGGAGGACGGGCAGTATGCAGGCACCAAAGACTAAGGAAGTACTTTCAGAGAATGATCATTAGCCGGTGTAATCAGGGAGGGCTTCTCTGAGGAGGTGACATTTGGGCTGAGACCTGAGTGACAAGAAGGAGGTAGCCAGGCAAAGAATCATGGGGAGAGGCTTCCAAGCAGAGGGACCAGCGGGCAAAGGCCAGAGGGGCGACGGCTCCGGGACAGAGGCCTGGGCAGGGTGGGGGTCTGCAGGGCCCAGCCGGGAAGCAGCTGGTACAGGCAGAGGGGCATCTGAAGGGGGCCGCCACTGGCTCCAGCCCCGTGGCTGCCTGCGGGATCGGGGACCCAGAGTGACCAGAGGTTCCAATTTTGCAAGAAAAGCTAGAGGCCTAGGCTTTTGCATAAAATTTCCTGATTTTTTTAAATGGCCACAACTGATTGAAATTTTTCTGAAACTGTTCAAGCCATACAAAACCTTTGTGGGGGCCAAAATCAGCCTGAGGGCCTCTAGTTGGAGACCTCCTAGGAAGTGAGGGCTGGATTGAAATCCTGCCTCCCAGACTCAGCTGTGCAACCTCGGGCAAGCTGCTTGCTCTGTGCCCCACGGCTTTCATCTGTAAAGTGGAGATAATGGTGCCTACCTTACAGGGTTGCTGTGGAGGATGAAATGTTTTCATTTACTCATTCACTCAGCAAACATTTATTGAACATCTACTGTATACCGAGGTGGTGCAAGGTTTAGGGGGGTCATAACAGCAAAGAAAAGAGACAGAAGTGCACCTTATGGCCCACAGGAGGCAGAAAACGAGCACATGCGTCAGCACCCGTGTAGAAACGCCGTGCAGCGATAAGTGCCAAGGAGAAAATATAGGACAGAGAGGGATGCAGGAAAAGCTGAGGGGGAGGGTTGACATTTTAGACGGAGTGGCCACAGAGAGCCTCACTGAAGAGGTGGCATTGGAGTAAAGGCCTGAAGGAAGTGAGGGAGCCAGGCACACAGGTGTCAGGGTGAAGAAAAAGGAAGCAAAAGGAAGAGCCAGTGCAAAGGCCCTGAGGCCTGGCTGCTGAAGGAAC